TTTTTACAGCAGGCGGCCCACGGCGGTGAAAGTTAGAACCTCGTACCGCCCCGTAGGCAGTAGACTCACACCCGTACCGCCCCGAACGGGCCCGTCCCACCCCGTCCGGCCCGTACTGCCCTGCTGTAAAAACTAATGAAAATCTCTGGGAAAATCAACAAAACCCATCAAACCCAGCTGTTGAAGCAGGGGTGGTTCTAACTTGCCTGGGGTGGTTCTAACTTGGCCCCCGGGCAAAATCGACAAAATAGGTTCTAACTTCGCGCTCGGAATTTCCGGCGGGGGACTTGAGCTCGAGGTTTTGGCCCTGGGTGGTTCAAACTTGCAGTCCGGGAGTGTAGGGCTCACCAAAGAAACAGAGTCCATGAAAGAAGCCACGTGAACGTTACAGGCTAGCTTGGTAGTGACCGCGGCTCAGGCCTTGTACTCGTTCACGACGTCTCTCAGGTTTGCGATACGATGTTAGTGTTTCCTTTATATCGATACGATCTTAGTGTTTCCTTTATATTACTGGACTGAGGCATTTTGCAGAAACAAAGAGGTCAGCTCTGGCTCAGGGTTAGAGATTTTGCATCCAGTCGCAATGCGACTCGAAGGCCAGAGGCGGCGAGCCCCCAGGATCGGGGATATGAAAACAAAAGCGAGCAGTTTCATGTTGATGACAGTTTAAGCTGCCATATCCTAACGCATCCAGCTCCTGTCCCCGATCCCTCCCCACGACGGCACTTCTGTCACAAATTCCATCCTTACATTTGTACTGCACACCGAGAATGCTGAAGAGCGAGAACACATGCACTTCCACGACACCTGACGAACCCTCCCACAGGCGAAGGCTTACAACACTTCGCCACTTCAAACCCCGGACCAGTAGCTCCTGAAACTACAAGGTGCCCATACTGGATACCCACGAAATTTCGTGTGTAGCCTCTCCGGGCATGCAACCCTAGTGACACTTTCACATGCAGAAAACCCGACACCTGTGCCAAAAAACCGCTCGACCTGAAGCCCCGACACTGACACAACAAACATATTTCAAGACTTTGAACGAAGACTCGGGAACCAATGAAGCCAATTGCAGAGGCTCCTTAACCAAACCCTCGGATTCTTTCTGGCCTCGGATTGCACCCGTGGGCGGGGCGGGCGGGAATGGCTCTGGCATTGGGTAGTCGGTCGTCATCCACCGCGAGAGGTCTGCAGTGGCGGAGTTTACGGATGAGGATTTTGGTGCTGCCAGTGTAATGACCAGTGGGGTGGGGGGATGGCGTCAATGCTCTCAGGGCGTTGCAACAGCGAAGATTCGATGGTGCCGGCTTTCTAGAGACAGGCCTGGGCTTTCGATTCGCTTCAGGGGGCTGAGGCCTGGGCAGAGCTCCTAAAGCTCCTCGGAACGGCATGCCATTCCCAAGTGTCTCTAGAGCTCACCGATTGGGGTGACAGCAAGCAGGGTAAGCAAGAAGGTAATAGCAGAAGGTATAACACAGATATTAATGCTACTACTGGTACAGTATGTCAGTTTTTTATCGCAAGATGGGCGGGGAAAACAATACTGAAAGTCACTTTCAAAGCGCGGGTGCGGCGTCGGAAATGCTCACGGTGCATCCCGAAACCCTTCTAGCATTGTCTTGCCCGCATTGGACTATTGTCAGTAAATGCTATATGAGTATGACGACGCCGGTGGTGATGATGATGATGGTGCTGATGGAGATGACGGCGCTGATGGAGATGATGGAGATGATGATGATGAGGAGGAGGTAAAAGGAGGATGAGGATGATGAAGAAGATGAGGATGATGAGGATGATGAGGATGGTGACGGTGACGGTGATGATCGTGATGGTGATCGTGGTGATGATGATGGTGGCGCTGATGATGAGGAATGATGACGATGAGGAGGTGGAGGTTGGTGACGGTGACGATGATCGTGATGGCGATGCTGATGAAACTGATGATGATGATGATGATGGTGATGGTGATGATGATGATGATGATGATGAGGATGATGAGGATGATGATGGTGATGGTGATGGCGATGGTGATGGTGATGATGAGGGTGATGATGAGGGTGATGATGAGGGTGAGGGTGAGGG